TAGTGTACTAAATATGTCTTAAATAAAAGCAATAAACCCTGTGAAGCCGTGGTTTACAGTGAATTTATAACAGCTAAGGGGGTTAACAACGCCGCTTAGCTGTTATAAATTCACTGTAAACCACAGCTTCTTGGGGCTTATTGCTTTAATCTAGTGCGCGTTTACATAGAAAAACAATGGAAAAGTAGCACATTGGAATGGAACAACGTCTTCTTTGTGAACGGCTCCTTACTCTTAAGACTCTTTTGAAAGTGTTTAGCATTTGCTTTCTGTATTTCAGGCTCACAAGTCTACAATATGGCAAGTGAGACATTTGCCTCAAAACCGCGACATCTTCATGACAGCCGGTGGAGCCGGTAATCTGCATTTATGGAAATAGTAAGTGATTTCTTTGAGATAATATCTTTAACATCTGAAGATTATTATTCGTACCGTGCCATTTTTTTGATTGATTTTTCTATTGTCACAGTGAGTATCCAGCCCAGAGAACTAAAAAGGGTGCGGATGATGTAGACATGGGCGTCGCTGGCTCTGTGAACCTCCTGCAGAACGTCACTCTGTCCACACAACCCATTTCCAGTCTCGACTGGAGCCCGGACAAACAGGGTCTCTGTGTTTGCTCTTCATTTGACCAGTCTGTACGAGTCCTCATTGTGACCAAACTCAACACAGTCTGACATAACTTGAGTTCACTTCTCTACTGTTATTCCCAAACAAACTGGAAAATCTGATGACTGTTTACATGCCACGTGTATATCTTAAGTTTATATGTGCAGTTATATTTGAGTTTGTTTTTTTTAAGAAAACAATTAAGTGTTATAATTCTTTGTGAATTCTTTGTTAGCCGGTGTTTTTATGCACAATGTGAAGGCCTGTAACACCATGGTAAAGTTATTTTAAGACTAAAAGAATCGAATCAAAAATGCACATTTTGTCTTTGCAGTCTTTTATCAAGTTGTAATAATTTGCTCTGCCTCTTAAATGCTGTTTTTCAGGCTGATGTCACACATTCTCCTGTCTTTCTGTAATGCCCACTTCTCATAATCCAATCAGTTCCCTGTTGTACCACCTTACTTTTTTTCTTGATGAATGTCTTGTTTCACACTGACTAAAAATATATGCCAGGCAATGCCAGAATGGGTTTTGACCAAACAGAGTGGATTTAAATAAGGCATATGAAGGACATTCCCAAACTAAAAAGATCATATCCAACACTTGAATCTGAAGAAGTCTTGCAGCGCCTCATCCTCCACTGATCTGTCATGAATTCCAGCGTAAACTCTCCTCAGAAGACTGGTCAAGAACTTCCCTTCAAGTGCTTCAATATATTTTTCAAGACATCCTTTTAATACAAAAACAGAGTGTTTTCATTTCAGCACTAACATTACTCCGTTTGAAGCAAAAAAAAAAAAAAAAAGATGTTTTCAAACATTTCTCTGAGAGTTGATTTTGTCAAAATTCCATACATAAATGGATAAATAGCTGAAGTAAGAGCAGATCTTACCGAGTCCCACGACTTTTCCATGCGCAATCAGGTTGGGCAGTAGCTGAGGATGCTCATACAGTTCATGTTTAATCAGAATATGCACAATCTCTCCTGTTATGAAGGCATCATCAAAGGTTTGTTCACAGACAGGCTTCAGAGGGAATCTACTGTGAAACATCCACAGCAGCCAGAGGATCGTCCTTCAACAGCAGATTGGCCAGCTCGATGTATGCGTCATGCACCTAAAACACATGGAATAGTAGTGAAATGCAGTATTATGATGTGAAATCAGTGTCATTACATGCTGATCGAGTGTGCATTAAGGGACTCACCTCTGGAGCCATGTCAATGACCTCCTGGTAAAAATGACCCGCCTGTTTCTGTGAGTCTGCGGTTCGCACCAGTGCCCTGGCTAAGCCTAGCCGTGGCACATAGGACTTCTCATTCAGAGCCGCTGAGACTGTACTGTCATTGTCCTGCTTGCCAACCTCCACTGAGAAGAATATTGATTGACATAGCATGACTTCAGATCATAGAAAACGCATTTACGTTGAGCCAAGAGTCTGGGCAAACCTGCTGAAGTTGTTGGTTTCTCCTGAAGAGGACTGTGCCGCTGCCCAGATTTACAAGGAGACATTTGAGCTTTAATGCTTGATTTGCCTGCTGTTTTTCCAGCTCCATCACTCTTGGTGACCAAATGCCCTCCTGCCCTCCCTCTAAGGAGAGAAATATCAAAGTAGCAATCATTTGTGAATAAGAGAACCACTAGTTGTAAAGATACAGGAGGCTGTGCTGTATATGAATGTATTCACAGCAATGGTTTCCCTGTCGTTCTTAAGAACAATGAAGAGTAAATGGAAAGCAATCTTTGGTCTTCTCAGTATTCAGAGATAGTTTGGGGCTGGTGCAGTGAGACGTGATGTGTTGCGCTCACCGAGCAGCTTGTGGCGTGTGTTTGGCTGCTGTGGCTGCCCTGTTGACTCGTGTAGGAGCCGAAGTCTTCGCTGTGGATGTAAGGACGCCTCTGGCTGGAGCTCCTCTGCCTCTCGCCAGCTTCTTCCCATCTGCAGGAGCCTCAGGTGACTCGACCGCTGGTTTGGTCTCAGGAGCTTCATGCTTGACCGTTTTGTCCTTTTCTGCATCTAAATGGTCCTTCCACCATGTCTGCTCATTTAAATGCAAAGCATTCTCAGATTTAAAGAGAAAGAATGTCTATAAAGAGTTATTTATGAAGTAAATTCCCTCACTAAGAAGATAATATCCGACATTTGATTGTGTAAACATCTTGCAGTACCTCATTTGCCATGAATTCCAGCGTAAACTGTCCTCGGAAGACTGGTCATGAACTTCCCTTCAAGCTTATATTTACTTAAGATTGTATTTAATGATGAGTTATCAACAAGTGGCTTAGAAACAGCTGCACCTAGACCTCCAAGACCAACATCATCACTAGATGCACGATTAGATAACATGTCCCTTGAACCCAGGGCCATCCTTAGCTGATGCGGGGCCTGGTGCGAGTTAGGGACCGGGGCCCCCCTCGGTCCGTTCGCGATCGCGTTCCGGGGGTGGGGTGGGGTTGTGTCGCCGTGGGGCCCCCTCAAGTGCGGGGCCCGGTGTGACTGCACCAGTTGCACCCCCGTAAGGACGGCCCTGCTTGAACCACACATCAGCATCCCAGGAAACTTCAACAAGGCTGTGATGACCTGAGATCTGACAAAGCACAAAGAGCTTCTTCTGCTATTAAGAATAATATAGACATCCCAATCAGAATCTGGCTAAAAATAATTCGATCGGTTATGGAACCCATCAGGTCTGGGATCCACTTATAAACCATGGTACAAACACCCAATATAGACAAGTCCAGCTAAACCCCAGAACAAAACTCCAGTCAAAGCTTTCTTCTAAATTTTTATTTAATGTTACCAATGCTTTGGCAATGTAAAGCCTTTTAACCATGCAAATAAAGCCAATTGAATCCTGAAACTCTCAAGGAATTGCCAAGTGGATGGTGATTTAGATTATCAAGCTCCAAACCCCCATAAAACCATCATAATATTAGTCCATTTGACTTAAAGAACAGAGAGGAACTTTATCTCCCAGCTGGCCTGGGAACACCTTGGGATCCTTCAGGAGCAGCTGAAGGAAGTTGCCGAGGAAAAGGACATGTGAGCATCCCTACTTATCCTGCTGCCACTGCGACCCGGTACCAGATGAGTGGCAAGATAGCTGTATGGACAACAATACAGGTCTGGACTGACATGAGGGTGAGTAAATAATAACATCATTTTCTTTTTTGGCTGAATTAGTGACAGTACTTACTGGTCAGCTGCTCGGGTGGTTCTCCAGTCTGATGGGAACCTTCTGACTCAATGCTGGTCTGGAAACTGAGGCAGGCATGTGCAAGCGCCGCCTGAGCTCGTTCAGCTGCTGCATGACTGTTGCTCTGAGCCAGCTGCACCAATCCCAGCAGACACAGAGCACGACTGCAGCGGGGCACCGCCAGCACTCCCATCTGACAGACCTACACACAGTCGTGCAGACTGCACCATGTCATATATATATATATATATACCGTATTGTCCCGAATATAAGACGATGTTTTTTTCTTGGAAATACATCTGAAAAAACGCGGTCTCTTATATTCAGGGTCTAGACTTTGACATGTCAGTAATACACCCACAACAATAGGTGGCGCCAAATACGCATAAAACGAGTGTGCCATGAAATACGTAATGTAATGCGTGTTGTAAAGAGCGCAAGTAAAAACAAAAGAAGCAGAAAACCTTACAGCTGCATGAGTCGTGACTGTCATGTTAGCCTGATGGCACCAAACTCCCTTTGTGATTTTAAAACGTAAGACAGTACCCAGATTTGAAGACTACAGTAAAATTTAACTTCTACTGTTAATAAGATTTCGGTAGGCTACTATTAGAATATATATATATATATATATATATATATATATATATATATATATGTATAGTCAAATTATAACATAAGACTGTCTATCTTGCTTAAATCATAGCTTTGATTTGAACCCTTATAGGTTTTTTTTTTTTTACAAAAGAGTTTGGTTTTTTGGTGTCTCTTGAAATTCAAGGGTTTGATGGTCTCAGCAGCCAATAATTTACCACAACAAAGCAGAACTGTTGTCAGTTTAAAAGTTCAAGCTGCATTTCCAAAATACGGTTCTTCATGGTATGATTACAAGCTGTTCCCGAACTGGATATTTCGCTAGCTCAGTGGTTCTCAACCTTGTTCCTGTTGATCCTAGAACAAGATTCCTCTCCAAAAACATAGACCTAACCACATACATACAACTCTCTCTTGGCAGGTCTTCCGGTCTTCCAGCCAGTTCAATCAAACCTCCGCAACTAATCCAGAATGTGGCAGCAATTAAAACTTAAAAGTCATTAAATGTTGTTTTCAGCTGAATTTGGGGAAACCACTTGAAACATTCAATGTTTTGAGCAATTACTGTTGTTTGATTTGTTCACTGCAAACAGCTGAAAGTCTAAATTTTTCCAGTAAACCTGATTTGCAATGGGGGTTGAATAATTTTGATTGCAACTGTATATGTAAGGGATAATGCACAGCTAGGTCGGGCTACCACCCGACGTGTAAATCCATCTGTTTACCAAGAGTGTAAAAGGTGAGTATACAAAGATGGAGTGAATGCGACTGGTAGATTTGGTGTAGTCTGTGCTAATTTGAGGTCTGTATCATGATTTCTGAAACCTATGGTTCCAATCAGTTTATATATTTAGTGATCCAGAAACATTAAGCATGGCCAGTAGTCTGATACCAAATGGTTCCTTTTAGCCATTCAGAAACATCCAGTACTGTGTAGTCCGATTCCTGAACAGATGAAGTGAATTTTTTAGTGAAGAAGACTTTTAGTGAATCAGAGACTTACAGCGTGGCCACTGCAGTCTGATTCCCAAAGCAATGACTTGACTCTGCTTCTTTTTAGCAAATGAAAAGTACTTACGAGTCATAGCGGTTACTGAATTATTCAGACTCACTAACTGGACTGCAAGTTATTACTTTTGTCATGTCTGACTCGAAGGAAACCAATAACTGTTACTATTACTGTTACTGTTAAGTACTCATGCTCATGAGACTCAAATCAGTTAACTGAGTGTTGTTTATTATTTGAGTTTGTTAATTATTTGAGACATTATGAATGTTGTTGTAATGAGTGGTTCTATATGAGTTCTATACAAACAATTTAATGATAAAATATAATAAAATGTTTTGTTTCTTATTTTAATTTAATATAGGTGATGGATTGCATGCCTCTAAACATTTGGCAACAGGCATTAATAGGCTTTGGTGCATGAAGTAGCATTTCATTTTTTCATATATTTCTTCACCAAAGAACCAGAATCAGAACCAGAATCACTAGATTTTA